CTTTCCAGGCAGATGGATAAGGCTGTCTGGTACAATACCGTGGCCAGCCCGGTCACCAGGTTGGAATCCGTTAGATTTTTTTACTGGGGAATTATAAAAGAAAAAGTTTATTTCAAGCCGATTCAAAATATAGCTGAGCTACGACAAAGACTATTGGAAGCAGCTGAGTTTGTTAACACGTTCGCTGCCAACTCGGTCTATAAGACCAAAATTGTGTTTGTTTTATTCGCCATCATGGTCTATAAGACCGAGAAGAAATTTTGCCAGCCTCGCCAACGCGGTCGATTAGACCGAGCCGAATATTCAATCCTCTTTCGCCAGCTGTTTAATTTTGCATTGGTTTAACGCTGGTAGTAGACCGAGTTGGCGTCTGAGGATTGCTGGCACATATCAGTTATGTAAAAAATTGATTGAATTTTAATATTTTGGCTATTTTATTTCTGGATATGGTAGGTTAGAGAAACAACAATAATTTACTTTATAAATCGTTTATTTTTGCAAAAATCTAGAACGAAAACCAGTAGTTTACATAATAATATATAAAAAACGTAAGAAAAACACTTATTTCTATCTAAGGAGTTTCATGTCTATGAAACTTATTAAAGCATGATAAGCAGAAAACCGGTTCACCATTACAACCTTTACAATAATAACGTCCTCTAGTGAGTTTTCGTGCTTCTTTCCATCCTTTCTCGGCTCTCACTTTTTCATAGCATCTACTGCAAGGTCTTCGTTTTTTATAATCACTTTTGCCCATTTCGTGCTTTTGGCGTTTTCTTTTTGGAATCATCTCAACATCTGGTTGCTCTGCTAACCCATCGTCTTGCGCTTGATATAACTTGTATGTAACAGCTTTTCGAAACTGAAGTAAGAAAATTCTGGCATTCACAGTTTCCTTATACATAATCCATGCATTGACCATTGCAGTATTCAGGATAATCTCTACGTCTAACTTACGGTACCACTTAAAGGTTCTACGCAAAGGTGTCTGATAAGCTGTCATCTGATCAGAGATATCAACCGACGACTTTCCTGAGTTATATGGTACAATGGCTTCAGGCTTCTTTACAGTTTTTTGTCTGCAGTTTGTCGTGTCTACTGTTGTGTTGCTATGTTTGGTAGAAAGCACTAAAACGTTGCGTTTATCATTCCAGAAAATTACTCTGACACCGTCCTGATTTTCGAGAGCGGCTATCTCTCCACATTTAAGTTTTTTGTTGACCAGGTCTTTTGGAAGGCCTCGTCTGTTTTTTCGTAATGTGCCTATCAAATATGTTTGCCTATCCATCAATCTTTTTGCCAAATCTACACTTGTATACCAGTTGTCTGTTACAAGAGTAATAGTAGTAGTAATCTAGTATGGGCTCAAAAAGACTCATAACTACAGATGTGGGTGTAGTATGACCTTGGTCTAAATTTTTTCCTGCATAAATTTTAAAGTTATAGGTATATCCTTCTTTGCTGCACAATTTGAATACTTTTATTCCATACTTATGGCGCTTGTTTCTTATGTACTGTCGCATTATTAATCTTCCCCTAAATGGAATAAGGGACTCATCAATGCAACAAGTCTCGGAAGGTTCGTATGATGTTTTAAAATTATGTACTATTTTGTCAATCAAAGGTTGAATCTTATGCAGTCTATCATTATCTGGATTATCCTGATTATCTGCAAAATGCAACATACGTAGCAACAGCTCAAATCTATTACGTGTCATTACTTTAGAAGCCATAGAGTTTTTATACATAGCTTCTCGGCTCCAACAGGCTTGTATATTAGGCATTTTTACAATACCCATGTACGAAAGCAAGCCAAAAACTTTCTTGATTTCATTTTTATCTGTAGGGAACCAATTATGTAACCTAGATGTACCTTTTACATCTGCTTCATCTGTAATAACTTGCGTGGCATATAGATTCGTTTGGTCAGCAATGTATTGAAAAATAGAGTCATTAATTAGTGAAAAATAAAACATTTCCATAGTTTCTTCTACTGAAATGCAATTAGAAAGACAATAGACACCACGTGCTGAATTGAAGAAACATGTCGATTGCGCAAAATTGCTGCAGACCGAGAAATGGACCGAGTTGGCGCATATGATAAAAAAAGCTACTTCCACGCCGCCTCGGTCTGTTGGACCGAGTGACAAATTTGACAATTTTGAGATGAGAATGACACCTACAAAGAAACTAACTGCAGGTAACGTAATCATAACTAATAAGTTTTGACTGGACAAAATGGCTCCAGGGGAACTTTTTTTTTTGTTTGGTCTTCTTTTTGTGGCTTTGGTGGCATAACCATAAATATTGCTTGGCAGCGAACGTGTTAATAACCGTGGATTCGCTCGTTTAATAACCCGATCTTTTTTAAGAAGATGTCGAGCGTGTATTGCGGCTGAAGGAAAACAGTTTGAGCATTTGCTGTAAAGGTAAATCATCATCAGCAGCATTTTGACGCCCACTGTTGTGCAAACAGTTATCCTTAAGGGTCCTTGTGCGTTTTCATAATCGCTGTTTAATTAGGAAATTTTGAAAAATGTTCATCAGTTTTTCTTCAAATAAAAATTGTGCATAAGTTAACGAGTAATCTTCTAAGTGTTATACCATTTGGGAATCCTTATTAAATGCGCCAACTTTTAAGGTTACTTGCCAAACTCTCGTAGTACATTTTTTTCCAGTACAGCCAGTTAAAGTTGAGCAAAGTTTTACTTTGGAATACTTGGTTGGGAAATAAGTGGCAATTTTTCCTGAACGAGAAAAGTTGGCAGTAAGGTTGAGACACCAGTTTGAAGATGCATTATTCATCATTACATTGTAAAAATAAAATCCAAAAAAAGTCAATATTTGTAGTAACAGGAGTTGACAGACTGCCGTAGGGTGTGAAATTTCTTTATTTTTTTCAAAGACTTATAATTTTCAAAACACATGCATAACATTTTTTTAAATATTTTTCTGATAGCTGTTATGACTTTGCCTATCACCCGGTTTCGGATTGACGTCGACTTCTGGGACACCCTGTATAAAAAATATTTTTTTTTCTATATCTTGATTAGTTCAGTTTTATCGGCTCTTCAAATCGGGGAAGTCTGCCTGCCCCACCCTGTAGGTAGTTCTATCTGTATTACGATTTTCAGGGGTCTTGAAGTAAGGCGTATGCTTGTACTTTATGTAAGGAAATGAAAAATATGAACTTCATATTGAAACACTTTTAAAACAACTGATGATTTTCAAATTTTTCGGTGCTGGAGTGCATGTCGATGTCATATTTCTGGGTAACCTCAAAATTCTGAACAACAAATACAAGATGTCCATATATATACGTTTCCTATAACATGCTGAGGTTTGAAGAAAGTCCCCTAATAGTGACCTTGAATGATCTTCAAGGTCATTTGGAGGTTAGATAAATTTTCTGGTAAAGTCATTACTTTTTGTCGGAGATACAAAACATGATGTCAAGTCGGTTGACTCTGCATTTCCTACCAGTTCATAAAGGATTATGATCATGTACAACAGAGAAATTAAGCAAATCAAGTCAGCCCAATAGAACAACGAGCACTCAGCCTGATACTAATCAAATTCAAATGAGAAAAATTTTCGTAACTCGAAGATTAGTGGCAGCATTAGTTAGGTGTCAGTTAAGTATGGGAAATGCTGTTTTCATTATTGCAGCAACTATTGAAGCACTTGGACATAACACTGACGAGTTTCCTATAAGCAAGCAAGCAATATACCGGATACTGTAACTGTCCACTGGGATTGAAAATTGTTGCCACCTTCAAATGCACGCAAGTCTAAAGAAAAACGTCTAACGATTGCTATAACGTATGAAAATAAAGATAAACTTATCGTATGAAAATGAAGAGCAACTTCTAGCTGTGCCCAATTTGGTTAACTCTTTAGGCAGCAGATTGTAAACTTTGAATAGAAAACTTAGTAAATAATCTTCTTTTAAAGATAAATATCATATTTTTCTGATATATATATATATATATATATATATATATATATATATATATATATATATATATAGGTGAAAAATTAAAGCTTCCGCCTTTTGTTGGGTACTTCGACAAAATTTAAGCAAAGAGGACTCTTTATACTTTTTTTTATTCTCTCTAGCTTTCAATGGACTTTGCCATCATCATCAGGAGCTGCAATTACAATGATAACAGTAGCAACGAAAGTGTAAAATGAATTTAAATTGACTCAACTTACAGTAGTATGTGAGGATGTTGCTAATTGTTGTTTACGTATAGGATGAGGGAAACGTCCAGTAACATGGTGAGAGCTGGATAGATGGTACAATGGTCAAAATTATATAAAATATGACAAGAACAAGTTAAAAACAGATTAAAAATTATTTAAGAACATTAGAGCATTACATCGTGAAGCCACTTGCTGATTGCACAAACTGGTGGTCATGGAACAATGAGTGAGATGAACCCTTTGACAGAAGGCCGAAGGTTGTCAATGTCTGTGTTGAAAGATGGAACGAATTGTGGGCGTGTGCCAAACGTTGCCAAATCACTTCAGATGATGTGATTTTCAGAATGTTATGTAAGAAATTGTTAAACCGACCAGAGGCAGTTGAATAAACTATATTTTAATTAATGGGAATTTAAATTAACAATTATTAATAAATCGTGAGAAGAGAATTATTATATTTTGAGTGGAATGAAATTTACTGGTGGAATCGGCCAAGATACATATATATATATATAACTTGAGACGTGGTCATTGTCGTCTAGACCAGTTAGGTGAAAAATTAAAGCTTCCGCCTTTTGTTGGGTACTTCGACAAAATTTAAGCAAAGAGGACTCTTTATACTTTTTTATTTCTCTCTAGCTTTCAATGGACTTTGCCATCATCATCAGGAGCTGCAATTACATTGATAACAGTAGCAACAATAGTGTAAAATGAATTTAAATATATATATATATATATATACCATCCCCTGTTGTTGTAATAAAAATTATTTGAAAGATGTGTTTCTGTTTCAGATCCTACAGTATTTATTTCCGTTCTGTATTAAATCGCAAGGATGGCAATTTTTGCGAAACGCATCCCACCAAGACTGATAGCTTTAGCGGTATTATTTTACCTTGTCGTTCCGTTAAATGGTCAAGATGTACCTGATTCCAATTCATACGAACCATGTAAGTAAATCAATCTTATTTATCAATGAATAAAGTTACAAATAAACATAAATCCTGAAACACTGTTCCGACAAAAAATACAGTACTTTGCTTGCCCATTGGCACGGGAAGAAACAAAAATAATAAAGACTAATGCGATCACTGATAGTGCCTCATAAGAATCCAATAAAAAGCTTACTTGCAAATTTTCAACAGATATGCAGTTTGGTGGGTTATGTTATTCATCAATGATAAATATTGGTAATAGTTTGTTTTGAGCTTGAATTATGCAGGCTATACCGCCCACTATCGATAGACTCATAGATATAGCTTAAAAATGTTAAGGCGGCTGTATTTGTGGATAGTCCAGTCTTAAGCCAGTGTTCGTTTGGTGACAAAATTGAGTGATCGTTGATGAAGCTGTTTAGTCTGTGGTGGATAATTGCTTGAAATAATTTGGAAAAGCTTTAAGGTAATACATTTTATAAAGGATTGTCCAATAGGGACGCAGGAAAGTAAACGTCAATTTGACATAGACGCCATCTTTGTTTTCTGTCACCGACATGTCATTTTGTTAGTTGAATGTTTACCATTGATCGCTATGGAGTCGCATTACAGTTATTCAACAGCACTACAAAAATGGTGCAAAAATAAAAAACACGTTTCGGTCGCAACAACCGCCCAAACGAAACAACCGTCGGTCGTCTGGTGCGTAAATTCGAGGCAACAGGTTCTGTGGCAAATCTGCCAGGCTCTGGCCGGCCAAGGAGCGTTCGCACACCGGAAAATATTGCTGTCGTGAAGGAGAGTGTGAGAGACGATCCGAAACAATCAACAACGCGTCGATCCCAAGAATTGGGCATTTCGAGAACCAGTTTGCTCCGCATTCTCCACAAGGATTTGAATGTACACGCCTACACGATCCAATTGACGAAGAGCTGCGTCGGGCCGACCATTTTTCGCGCCGAACGTTCTCAGATTGGCTCCTTGAACACCGCCAAATTGATGCCAATTTTTCATCACGACGAAGCGCATTTCACTTTGAATGGGACGGTAAACAAGCAAAACTGCCGCATCTGGGCGAACAAAGATCCCCGTGAGTATCAAAAGCAGCCGATGCATCCTCAAAAAGTGGCTGTATGGTGTGCATTGTGGTCAAAAGGCATCATCGGACCTTACTTTTTCGAAAATGCGGCCGGGGACGCCGTTACCGTCAATTCTGAGCGATATCACGTTATGATAGAGGACTATTTTTTGCCGCAACTTGAAGGAATGGATATGGACGATGTTTATTTCCAACAAGACGGTGCAACATGCCACACAACCAACGTCAATATCCATCGATTGCAGTCCTTCTTCGGTGATCGCGTGATTTCGCGCAGAGGAAATGTGCCATGGCCACCAAGATCGTGCGATTTGACTCCCTTGGACTTCTTTTTATGGGGATATTTGAAAAGCAAAGTCTACGTCAACAAACGAGCCACCCTCCAAGAACTCAAACACAACATCATTGCCGAGATAAATGCCATAGAACCGACCATCTTGCAAAATGTCGTTGAAAATTTCGACCATCGCGTGGACGTCTGTAAATCCAGTCGTGTTGAACATTTGAGCGATATTATTTTTCATACATAAATGGTATAAATGAACCTTCAAAATAAAGTACCCAACTTGATTTGAATATCAATCTTTCTTGTTTTAATATGCGTTTACTTTCCTGCATCCGTTTTGGACAACCCCATATTACCATGAAAGTTGGGGATTTGAATGTGTCTTTTGTCAAATACAGTGTTGCTACAAAATGGACTACTGGGACCTAAAATATTTAATAGGCCACCAACCAATATTAAGGCATGTTCCAATATCAGTTTAAAGCTAAGTTGAAAGAGTTTCTTGTGTCTAAATCATTCTATGCCATCGCAAAATTTGTTTGTTGATCATTGTCATATTGTTTGTCTTATAGATTTTTATTTATTTCATTTATTTTCGGCAAGTTGACGAAGCCCATACGTATAATTTAATGTCTGAAATGATGAACAGTTTGAATTTTAAAAAAACGTTTCTAGTTGAGGTCCAGCTGTCGTTTTGTAGTTTTCAACTGCCACGTTTATGATAAAATGTCAATTTTATTACCGGAAATTTTGGTTTGCCAAGCGTCGTATCGTCAGTAGTATTTCTAGATCTCTACTGTTCTGTGTCAGCTTCAGTGCTCTCCTGTTGTGAGGCTATGTTTTCTTTCCGAATTGTAGGAAATTTCAGGCTGGTAAAATAGATGACATAAATCAAAAGCATAAAAAAATTGAAGCAAAAGGATATTTGTAACATAACCTAAAAATAGAGCGCTGATCCGGAAAACTATGAAAATCAAGCAGGCGTCAAAGGCGTCCTACCTTTGAAGGAATGACTGACGGTACAACCCTAACTTGACCCGATCAGGAGTATGGGAGCCTTTTCGAAAAGCTCTATATATACTAAGTGACATATAAATCCGAACACCCAGTTTAAATTGTTTTATTTTAATAAAATTTTGTATAAGTACTTAATGAAGCATAATAAGTAAATGATAAAAATTTAAAAATGATTGCACTGCTTTAAAGCCCTTTGACCTTTAATAATGTGTGGATGCACCCTGATGTGCTACGCATTCTCCAACGCGCCTAGGCATGCTTCTGATCAGGTGGTCAATGTCCTCCTGTGGTATCTCATTCCAGGCAACCACCAACTCCTTTCGAAGTGCTTCTAGAGTCTGAGGAGGACGTTGCAAATTAAGCAATCTCCTACCCATCAAATCCCACATGTGCTCAATTGGGGATAAGTCGGGAGATCTTGGTGGTCATGGTAACAATGTGACATCATTATGTTAAAAGAAGTCTATTGTGACTCTTGCAACATGTGGTCGGGCATTATCTTGTTGGAAAGTTGGATCTGCCAGGGTGTCAAGATAGGGTAAAAGATGGGGTTCTAGAACTTCGTGGATATAACGCTGCGCGTTCATGTTACCTCTGATGAAGATTAAAGGTGACCTGGAACCATAAGCTATAGCACCCTAAACCATAACTCCAACAGTGTGATGAACATGTCTTTCAACAAAAAACTGTGGATTCCTCCTTTCACCACGTCGCCTTCTAACCCTGGCACGACCATCGTGCATGCCTAAACAAAATCGAGACTCGTCACTAAAGACAATACTGTTCCATTCCTGATCCCAGAGTGACCGTTGTCTGCACCACTCAAGACGATTACGTCGGTGTTCTCGAGTTAAAGGGAGGACCCAGTGTGGCCGGTATGAAAACAAGCCAATACTTCTCATTCGACGGTAAACCCTTCGCATGCCAATAGGTCTTCCGTGTTCTGCAAACCAGTCATTTGCAATGGACCTGGTAGTGGAGAAACGGTCCCTTAAGGCCAATAATCTTAGGCGGCGATCTTCACGGTCTAATGTTCTACGGCGGCGTCCAGTGCCCCTTGCTCTTTGCGTACGGCCTTTTCGAAGCCATGCCTGACAACACCTAACCACAGTGTCTACACTTCTTTGCACTCTAACTGCAATTGCCCGAAAAGAAAGTCCAGCTTCCCGAAGTCCCACTATACGGCCCCTATCAAACTCACTAAGTTGACGAAATCGTACAGGTCTCCGTACTCTAGGCATCGTAACCGATCGTAAAGGATGTCAAGAACCAAAATCCGCCAACGTTGATTCTTTACTGCGGCTGAAATATTCATTTTTAGAGCGTTAGTGAATTGAAAAAAGCAGTGTAAAAACCGGAATGTCCAACTGATAAGGCTAAACATTTTTTCACTTGTTAGTTACAGTAAGATAAATACATTTACCAACTTTTATTAAAATAAAACCATTTAAACTGGGTGTTCGGATTTATATGTCACTTAGTATAAATTAACTAAAATGATTTCTGAGGAGAATGTTTCGATAGTGAAACTTGTTTGAGGCGAAGGTTATACCTTTTTAAAAATAAAAATCTAGATAATTAAACGAAACATTTTTCATCACTCTTTGTTCTTTTTTAAGTTATCCATGTGCCAACCAATCCAGTTCCTCCACCAGTCAAAAATTCATTCTCATGGGAAGATTACTCTGTCCTAGCAGCCATGTTGATCATATCCTGCGGTATAGGAGTGTTCTATGGATTTTGCGGACCGAAACATGAAAACTCTGAAGACTTTTTATTGGGCGGTAGTTCCATGGGTACATTCCCGATGGCCATGTCATTGGCTGCCAGGTAAAGAACTATTCATTTTTCTTGCATAGTCGTATATATAGAAGATTGTTGCCAGATTCATACCGAAACTACAAAGTGCATTTCTGAATCAAATTAGCGTGTAATCACTTCTTAAATGACTGAGACCTCTAGGGCAACCCGAAATTGCAAGATCAAGAATTCAGAATATGACCTAGCCCCAAGCTGTGCTAAAAAAACTTGACTTCCTCTGCTCACCCTATATAAGTGGATTAGTGAAAGAAATAAAGCGGTTGAATCGTACGTATTTTCAAAGAGTTTGTCAAAAACCCGAATCTGTTGCGGTTTCGAAAATATCGAGATTTGAATTTGGGAAGAATTTTCCATGTTGCAAAGCTATCGTCCACCAGTTTATTTGACTTTCTGTTAGAAGAGGTATCAATTTTTTGTTGTACAATGTTTCTCCAATCGCTGTACATATGCTACGCAATCCCCCACTCGTCAAAGTAGAGATTCCCTATTCTCGTGAATGTTTTTTCAATAAATGGTGAAAGTTACGTGATTGCCGTATGTTTTTTCTAGTTTTGTGACTGCCGTGGAACTACTGGGTAACCCTGCTGAGATGTATACCCATGGGAGCCAGTTTTGGATGATTTGTATTGCATTTGTGTTAGTCGTACCTTTGTCTTGCAGGTAGGCGATTTTATATTACAAATGCAAATATTTTAAAAATATGGTGAAAGCGCGCTCGCATATACCAACGTACATGAATTATATTTAATCAATGATAAACGTGCAGTTTTGGGGTGGTTGGAAGCCTGTTCATGTTATAACTCATCTCACGTTATTTTGTTTTCAGATATTACCTACCGGTATTTATCAATTTGCGTCTGACAAGTTCTTACGAGTATTTCTCTCTACGTTTTTCACCGACTACGAGATACATCGCAGCAGGATTATACGTTTTTCAAATGGTGCTTTACACTAGCGTAGCAGTTTATGCTCCGGCGCTTGCTCTTAGCAAAGGTGAGTTAAAGAATAGTAGCATTAAGCACGATATTTTGTATCAGGATTGTAGAAAATTTTCGATCTCCACGAGGCTCTTGTCAATTTGATATTCTAATTTGCATTTTTGGCTTAATGAGAGTAAACAACATGTAATAAAAGCAATACCAAAGCGTTTGAGGAAGAACCTGATTCTTGAGGTTAGCTACAAAAAACAAACCGAAATTACCGCCGCACCAGTCTCAGTGATGATTTGAAAGAAAACCATTTGGGTGTTGTATTCGATGCCAAGCTGACATTCAAGGATCACGTCACTCAAATGATGAATTCAGCGTTTAAGATGCCAGGGTTTTTTCTAAGGAATTAGTCAGGGTTTTCAAACATATCAAGTCTAAAGCTTTTATATTGTACATTTATTAGAAGTAAGCTGGAATACGCTTTCATTAATGTTATGGCAATTATCCTGAAAGGCGTTTCGACCATTCTACATCGCTACATCTTTTGTACAAAATCATACACAACCAAGTTGATTGTTCGTTCATATTAAGTAAGCTTAATATTCGTGTGCCTCAGATGGGAAATAGTGTTCAAATCACTTTCTATCCGGTGATTGGTAATACTGATTTAATGTCGAGATCTCCGATAAATATACTAAGTGACATATAAATCCGAACGCCCAGTTTAAATGGTTTTATTTTAATAAAATTTTGTATAAGTACTTAATGAAGCATAATAAGTAAATGATAAAACTTTCAAAATGATTGCACTGCTTTAAAGCCCTTTGACCTTTAATAATGTGTGGATGCACCCTGATGTGCTACGCATTCTCCAACGCGCCTAGGCATGCTTCTGATCAGGTGGTCAATGTCCTCCTGTGGTATCTCATTCCAGGCAACCACCAACTCCTCTCGAAGTGCTTCTAGAGTCTGAGGAGGACGTTGCATATTGAGCAATCTCCTACCCATCATATCCCACACGTGCTCAATTGGGGATAAGTCGGGAGATCTTGGTGGCCATGGTAACAATGTGACATCATTATGTTGAAAGAAGTCTATTGTGACTCTTGCAACATGTGGTCGGGCATTATCTTGTTGGAAATTTGGATCTGCCAGGGTGTCAAGATAGGGTAAAAGATGGGGTTCTAGAACTTCGTGGATATAACGCTGTGCTCTGATGAAGATTAAAGGTGACCTGGAACCATAAGCTATAGCACCCCCAACAGTGTGATGAACAAAAACTGTGGATTCCTCCTTTCACCACGTCGCCTTCTAACCCTGGCACTACCATCGTGCATGCCTAAACAAAATCGAGACTCGTCACTAAAGACAATACTGTTCCATTCCTGATCCCAGAGTGACCGTTGTCTGCACCACTCAAGGCGATTACGTCGGTGTTCTCGAGTTAAAGGGAGGACCCAGTGTGGCCGGTATGAAAACAAGCCAAAACTTCTCATTTGTCGGTAAACACTTCGCATGCCAATAGGTCTTCCGTGTTCTGCAAACCATTCATTTGCAATGGACCTGGTAGTGGAGAAACGGTCCCTTAAGGCCAATAATCTTAGGCGGCGATCTTCACGGTCTGTTGTTCTACGGCGGCGTCCAGTGCCCCTTGCTCTTCGCGTACGGCCTTCTCGAAGCCATGCCTGACAACACCTAGCCACAGTGTCTACACTTCTTTGCACTCTAACTGCAATTGCCCGAAAAGAAAGTCCAGCTTCCCGAAGTCCCACTATACGGCCCCTATCAAACTCACTAAATTGACGGAATCGTACAGGTCTCCGTACTCTAGGCATCGTAACCGATCGTAAAGGATGTCATGAACCAAAATCCGCCAACGTTGATTCTTTACCGCGGCTGAAATATTCATTTTTAGAGCGTTAGTGAATTAAAAAAAAAGCAGTATAAAAACCGGAATGTCCAACTGATAAGGCTGAAAATTTTTTCACTTGTTATTTACAGTAAGATAACTTTTATTAAAATAAAACTATTTAAACTGGGTGTTCGGATTTATATGTCACTTAGTATATGATTTGTAGATGTTTCAATTCTGTTTGCAGTTCCTTTAACTTATTTTTTGATAGTGAGAACTTTGTTATGAAGTGCTACAGAGACTGGCACCTTTGTCAGTGAGAGTTTGTTTTTTCTTTTTTTAAGTTTTTTTTTTTGTCTTTGGCGTTACCGCTGTTGCTAATTATGTAACTTTCTTGTATTTTTCCTGTAATTGGGAATAAATAAATAAACATTAAAGGCACATTTACTGTATAGTATTATTCAATGTAATAAACATTAACAGAGATATTTCATTTTAGTTACTGGATTAAACGTCTACGTAGCTGTTACGGCTGTATATGCAGTGTGTATTTTCTACTCGTCTCAGGTAGGTTGCGATTAATATGTAGGTAGTGTTCTTATTCTAATCTTTGAAAGTATCGACAATATACAGGATGTTTTCCATTAGCAACGATTAATTTTTTTTAAATTCTTCGCAAATAAGATAATACCGCTAAGGCGATTTGGAATGCAACTACAAAAAACAATCTCTGTTATCGTTTTTAAAGATAACAACACACAAGCGCTGGATATGGGTCCCTATACTCAAATGCTTTCTACTGTTACACTGAATAAACCCTACAAGTTTGATCCCATAGTTCTGAAACACCCTGTACACATTTCCAGCAAGACGGCGCTCCTCCTCACTATATTCTTCCGGTTCGGTAATGGCTAGACGACGAGTTTCCATATAAATGGATGGAAGAGGGCCTATAGAATGGCCTGCTAGATCTCCTGATTTGACGCCATTAGACTTTTTTCAATTCGGCCATTTGAAATCTATTGTACTTACTCCCCAACCTTATATCATTGTTTTGGCAAGAACTGGCAACATTTTGAACACTTATTGAAACAAAGAGTGATTATTTCGTGTATTTTTGTCTCCCATCTGAACATATTGAGATGAATAAAAAAATTTCTAATTTTCTTGAAAACGAATAGAAAAAACCAAACCTTACAATAAAGGACTTCGAGAGATCTTTCAAACAAGCTATTACTGGATACGCCTTGTCATTTAAAATGTTTGAGGCGATGACCCTGGGGAGCAGACAGTGAAAGGGGGTGAGGTAGTTTTTGGTTAAAAAGTTGTCCCCCTAGACAAATCTTTTGACGTGTCTCGGAGTTTTTTCTTTTGATCAATGGTTTTCGATGAATCCGTGGTGGGAAGATTTCAAATGAACACTCTGTATATTATAGATATATGTTCTTTAGGTATCAATAAAAAAAGATCTATACAAAGCAATCCATTTTCAGGGAGGCATGAAGGCCGTTATCATCGCTGATACTTTCCAAGCTGCAGTACTAATTGGTTCATTGTTCCTAATAGTGTATTTTGGTGAGAAATTCCTCGGAGATCGTGGGGTTATTTGGTCGCAGAGTTTCAACAGTGGTCGACTTGAATTATTTGAGTAAGTAGTTCAAATCGATCGAATTCTTTTAAACTAACATAATCTCCATTTTCAGTTTAGATCCAAATCTGACGGTAAGGCACAGTTTCTGGTCTGTCGTCATAGGAGGAACATTTTACTGGATGACGATGTTTTGCTCTAACCAAGCCTCCACTCAGAAGTACATGTCCGTTCAAAGCCAGAGTCAAGTGAAAAAGTAGGTACAATGTGTTAATGTACAGTGTAACCTTACTGTAATGAGTTTAATCGCTCAGGGTGCCATTCTCAAGAATGGCGATTGAATTTAGTGCACGATTACCTGTTTTGTGGTCTTCCCGCTTATTCTTTGATCCAGTGAAGTTGGCAAATGAAAATGATGATATATTTTAGCGTATAAATGGCATTTGAAAATTCTAAGATGGCTAGAGGGAGACATCTTGAACCGTTTTCAAAGGGGAAACGTCAATAAAAGAAAAGACATAATGTCAGCCAAAACAATGACAGCTGAAGCATCAGGACGTTTAGGCAACACGTACAGCTACCGAACGAGTACACATCAAGTGTACAACAGCTAGTGCCGAGATGATATCTTGTAGAAAAACCTACGAGTACATAATGTCACAAAAAAACTATGTAAACGGACATAATGTCACTTTTCAAGATTCGTAATATCCCTGCCGTTTGAAAGCTAAAGTAGGGGGACCGTTTGAAAAGCATATACTACCAACCTATGCAGGGTGCTCATTTGAAAAGGGAGACAAATTTTTAAGGAAAAACTTTCAAAACGGACGCAGGAAAGTAAACGCATATTAAAACAAGAAAGATTGATATTCAAATCAAGTTGGGTGCTTTATTTTGAAGGTTCATTTATACCATTTATGTATGAAAAATAATATCGCTCAAATGTTCACCACGACTGGATTTACAGACGTCCACGCGATGGTCGAAATTTTCAATGACATTTTGCAACATGGTCGGTTCTATGGCATTTATCTCGGCAATGATGTTGTTTTTGAGTTCATGGAGGGTGGCCGGTTTGTTGACGTAGACTTTGCTTTTCAAATATCCCCATAAAAGGAAGTCCAAGGGAGTCAAATCGCACGATCTTGGTGGCCGTGGCACATTTCCTCTGCGCGAAATCACGCGATCACCGAAGAAGGACTGCAATCGATGGATATTGACGTTGGTTGTGTGGCATGTTGCACCGTCTTGTTGGAAATAAACATCGTCCACATCCATTCCTTCAAGTTGCGGCAAAAAATAGTCCTCTATCATCACGTGATATCGCTCAGAATTGACGGTAACGGCGTCCCCGGCCGCATTTTCGAAAAAGTAAGGTCCGATGATGCCTTTTGACCACAATGCACACCACACAGTCACTTTTTGAGGATGCATCGGCTGCTCTTGATACTCACGGGGATTTTCGTTCGCCCAGATGCGGCAGTTTTGCTTGTTTACCGTCCCATTCAAAGTGAAATGCGCTTCGTCGCTGAACATGATGTTTGATGAAAAATTGGCATCAATTTGGCGGTGTTCAAGGAGCCAATCTGAGAACGTTCGGCGCGAAAAATGGTCGGCCCGACGCAGCTCTTGCGTCGATTGGATCTTGTAGGCGTGTACATTCAAATCCTTGTGGAGAACGCGGAGCAAACTGGTTCTCGAAATGCCCAATTCTTGGGATCGACGCGTTGTTGATTGTTTCGGATCGTCTCTCACACTCTCCTTCACAACAGCAATATTTTCCGGTTTGCGAACGCTCCTTGGCCGGCCAGAGCCTGGCAGATTTGCCACAGAACCTGTTGCCTCGAATTTACGCACCAGACGACCGATGGTTGTTTCATTTGGGCGGTTGTTGCGACCGAAATGTTCACGAAGCGCGCGAAACGTGTTTTTTATTTTGCACCATTTTTGCACCATTTTTGTAGTGCTCTTGAAAAACTTTAATGCGGTCTTCAATCGAATACGACTCCATAGCGATCAATGGTAAAAATTCAACTAACAAAATGACATGTCGGTGACAGAAAACAAAAATGGCGTCTATGTCAAATTGACGTTTACATTCCTGCGTCCCTATTGGACAACCCTACTTCCCCATACTTCACCCCTTTCATCAATTTTAAATGACGAGTAAGAAATTGAAAGGTCTTCCGAAGTTCTTTATTTTGATGTTTGATTTTTTAAAATTAATAGATTCGTTTTCAGAAAATTAGTAAAAATCTTTATTTATCTTAATTTGTTCAGATGGAAAACTAGAACACACGAAAATATCACTTTTTATTTCAATAAGTGTTAAAAACATTGCCCGTTAGGGCTTGCCAAATCTACAATTCGTTTATAATTCAAAACAGAAAATGGTCGATGCCGAATTTTTTTACGTATTCTTTTCGTCAACACAGATATATTGTGCGACCTGTATCTGTTGTTATACCTGTATAGTTATTTGTTGTTAAGGGACAGAAGGATTTAATTTGCTGTCAGTTTGTCAGTTACCTCTGTGACAATTTTGGGACATTGAAAATTAATTTATCGGTTCAGATTTTACTTCCAAAATGGTCTACAGGTCTACACACTAGCCGAAAGAGTGAAAATGATTCTAATTCATGAAATTTACGCGAGTTTTTGTTTTCTAAAATTTTTAATAGAATAATCCTGGGGGGCAGAGGGTGAAAGGGGGCGAAATAGTTTTTGGTTAAAAAGTTGTCCCCCCTGTCACGTCTTTTTATCAAATGAACACCCTGTACAAACAAAACCAAAATGGTCCTAGATTGTTTTATTTTACGGAGTTACCCATTACGCTTAAAATATGCAATACTGTGGATGGATTTGTTGATTTTTCAGCCCTAATAAACATAATAACGGATAATTGTTGGATCCTTATTTTTAGAGCAATTTGGACGTCATGCTTTGGATTAATAATAATATACTCAGTAAATTTCTACACTGGAATGATTATGGTGGCTCACTATAAGGATTGCGATCCCATTAAATCTGGTGAAATAAGGGCAGCTGATGAGATCCTTCCTTTGTATGTCATCTCTACGATGGGTCACCTTAAAGGCGTTACCGGTTTCTTCGTTGCCGGCATTTTTGCTGCTAGCCTGGGGTAAGGAAACCATGTTTATACAATTTTGTGTTCAAGTACTTAAAATAGAAGGTACTCATCCGCAAAATAAAAAAAAATTGGGCCCAACACTTAGTGCAGATGTTAATGTTATTTAATATTTGTTGTTGTTACATGTATTGCTAATTAGCAATAGAAATTAAAAAAAATATTACTTTAAAAAAGAAACATAGTTCTTGTGTGGGGCCGTTCAAGTATTACGTAAGCAGATTTATTACAATTATTTACCCCCCCCCCAACCCCTTGTCAGCAAAAGTAAACAAAGCTCTTACCCCCTCCCCCCATGCTTACGTAAACATTTGTCAATTAATGTATTTTTTTTAATGTTATAATCATAACGTTATAATTATAATTAACCATGTTTGTATGAACTTTTTGTTTAAAAATTACTCAAAGAACCGTCTGTTAAATTTGTGGTACATCACAACAGCTATAATGAGGCAGCCTATCGTTTCCCAAATATTAACGAAATAGTTGTAAAAGTAGTTAAGCTTACGCAATGAGATAAGATCTGTGAACAGACGAACAGACTCGCGGAAAAAAGTCTCATGCGTTTGTGGTCATATTTTTTTCAATCTCGACATTTTAGCGCGAAATTTAGAGCTCACATTCATTAACACTTGAAGTCCTTGGGTTTCAGGACCGTTGCTTCAGCTCTCAACAGCCTTTCTGCCGTTACTATACAGGATTTTCTTCACTCCGCTCTTGGGATACATCTGCCTGACAAGAAAGGCGCTTATACAGCGCAACTTTTGTCTGTTCTCTATGGAGCCATAAGTTTTGGACTGGTAAGTATATGATAATGACGACGTACAAGCAACAGAAAATTCTACGTTCTAAGTCCAAGTTCAGCCTAAATACTAAAGGTCAAATGAAGGTCAAATGTGTGCTGGTAGGGAAACCCTTATGAATGTCCCAGAATTAAAGATGAAAGTAAGTAACAAGGATAGGTATGTAGTCAATTTTGACGAGTGATCTTGTATTTGACCTTGAGCTTCACCTTTAATGTCGCTTCAAGGTCAATTTCTTTCAAATAGAAACCCGCAGGAACAGTGTAGGTTAAAAATCATTTGTAACGAGCACCGGAGTTCCCTCATTAAAATTTACCCAAAGATCTGACCTTACCAGTTATTTTAGTCTATATTCGTGTGAGATTTCCAGAAGTTTTCCTAGCAGCAGACATTTGACATTTGTGCGACTTTTCGTGGTCACTTTGACCTTGAATTCATTAGAACATTTGAAAAAATCCTGCTCTCAGGATCATGGGCATCAAATACCTTGAAATGACCTTGAAGATGACTTTGAAGGTCTAATCCAGGCTCACCGCATATCTGCAAGATTTCTAGAAGTTCTCCTAGCAGCACATATTTAGCCTTTATTTAACCTATTTGACCTCAGCAGTTATCTTGATCTTGAATTTCAATGCAAATTTCCCGGTCTTCCGAATGCGGGCTTAAAAAATGTAAGTTTCTATTTGAAAAGAAAGACTTTGAAATTATCTTGAAGGTGAAGTTCAAGGTCAAATTCAGGATTACCTTTCAAAATTTACTAAAGAACTGACCTTGATAGTTATTTTCATCACTAATTCTGTAAGATTCATAGTGTTTTTCCTAGCAGCTCACATTTGACCTCCATTTGACCCTTAGTGACCACCGTGCCCTTGGTCTTCAATTCGCATTTTAACGTTAAATTTTAGGCTCTTTAGATTGCCGGCATCAAAAGAGGGATTTCCATTGAAAAAAATGTTGTCCTTGAAATGATCTTGAAGATGAGGATCAAGGTCAAATCCAAGATCACTGTACATTCCTTCGTAAAAGTTCAATGTCCTGTAGTGTTTTCATCACTCATCCTGTGAGATTTATAGATGTTTTCCTAACAGCACACATTTGATCTTCATTTGACCTTTATTAGTAATCCTGGCCTTGAACATAGAATGTGTTTGAAGGTAAAAGTTTATGATACTTTACTTGCCGGAATCAAAAAGGAAAAAAAATAAAGTTGAACATGAATTTTCCTTGAAGGTGAAGGTCAATGTCAAATTCAATCCACCGTTAAATTCCTTGCTGAAAGTTACTGAAGACTTGTCCTTAATGTTTCCCAAAAATGCCGTCGATACAAAAATTGTCTTAAGGCTGCTAACGATAATGCTTGTGCTTCGATTTGCAATGTCAATATATGAATCCATTTCGTGCGATGAATCGGAGAATTGCATAAATTCATCGCACCATGTAATGGGTTATATCATTGATCATGATGATTGTAGTAGTAGTGGCGGTAACTGATTGAATAAACGATCTCCAATGATGCGATGTACCTATGTTGATCTTGCACCGATCTGGTGCGTGATCTAGACAACACACAACACATCATCCATGGCTCGGAATTAATTTCCGACCCGCGAGCCTCGAGTCGACCGATTAGTAGCTAGACGCACTAACCACTCTTCGATTATGATGACTATTATAACGAATTGTCTTTTCTATTCAAGGTTTTTGTAATCGCTAACCTGGGCAGCATAATGCAAGTTGCAATCAGTTTCAACGGAATGGTTGGAGGTGTAACCCTAGGACTTTTCTCTTTAGGAATGTTTTTCCCTTGGGCTAATTCAAAGGTAAATATCCGCTTCTTTGCTTTCCGTTATCCGTCTACAAAGACTGAACCTATACCATACTGGTAATTGCCAAAAAGCTTGAAACAACGTGCCAAAGATTGAATGATCTTTGACTGAGACTGAGAATTGGTGATTCTGATGTTCAGGAATCCTCAGAAATATTAACAACTTCAACTAAATTTGCAGGGTGCGATCTTCGGAGCTACGGTGGCTACATGCCTTATCACCTTGATGTGCATAGGGCAACAAGTTGCTATAGCAAATGGGACATTCGAGGAGCAAGTGAAGCCCACAAGCATCGAAAACTGCTGCTGTCTGAATATTACGAAAATAGGGACTAAGGACATTATACCCAACAGGTAAGAAACAATGAGCGAATGATAGATGGACAGGAGGAATTCTGGTAAACTGTCTATGTTAAGCTCAATATGGCATATCCCGAGGATCACCAACTTGGCTCTAATTACTCAGTACATTTCTGAAGTACTGGACGGTCAGGGACAAGTTGATGTCATCTACACAGATATTCAGAAGGCGTTTGATCAAGTTGATCATTATGCACTTCTGGATAAGCTTAAAACAGTCCGGGGTACCTCAAGGGTCAAATCTAGGTCCATTATAATAATATTAATGACTTGTCTTTTGAACTGAGGTGTTTCCATTTATTTTTCGCTGATGACCTTAAAAAATCTGCACGTCAGTCAAGACAGTCGAGGATTGCGTCATGTTGCAAGATGACTTAGCTCTAATTTCGTCATGGTGTTCACGAAACTGTCTCAGTCTGAATGTTTCGAAATGTAAAGTTATGACTTATACAAGAAAGGTTAACTATTTAATTTATGATAATTATAACATCAATGGTCAGGTTATAGATAGATGCACCTCTTATAGAGATCTTGGAGTCATTTTTGATACCAAGCTAACGTTTACTGAGCATATAAACTGGAAGGGCTTCTCCAATGTTACATACATTAATGACTTTATTTTTTACTTTTGTCAGGAGCAAGTTGGAGTATGCGACTCTGATCTGGTCTCCTATATACCAAAATTCTGTCGTGATCCTTGAGGCCAGTCAACGTAAAGCTTTAAAGTATTTTCACCTTAAATGTACAGGTTCTTATCCAGAAAGAGGTTGTGACCATAGTGCCCTATTAGAGTTTTTCAATTCGGATTCACTGTCAACAAGACGAAACATATTTGCTTTGTACGTTTTTGTATGGCCTCATTCACAATAAAATTGACTGTCAAAATTTACTTGAAAAAATATGTTTTCGCGTTCAAAGGCTAGGGAGTCGACAGCAAACGGCATTCTGTTGTCAAGCTGGCCGTACAAATGTTATGACAAAATCGCCAATTAATCTCATGTGCTGCGTGTTACTGAATCGTGTGATATTTACAGTGACAGTTGTGCATCGATTATTAACTGCTATAGATCATCCTGTCTTATTTAGAATGTGTGATACTATAGATTTAAGTCCAAGAACCATGCCCCTTTAATTGTTATTGTTTTCAGCATTTCCTGTAATTGGGTTTCACCTGTTGGAAATAAATAAATAAAATAAATAAAAATATAAACTCTCAAAGCTTTGCAGAGACCAGAGACCGAAGACTCTTCTTCTAAATCGCAATGTGCACATGTGGTACTTATACTAAGTGACAAACCAAATTCCACATTCAACGTTCCATGAAAAACTCCAAAAGCGCTAATTCAGGTGTTGCGACAAAACTCAACAATCTATTGAGAGATGTTTCTATACAAAACTTAATTTATGAGCTCACGTGAAGCCTTGCCTAATGCCTGGGCAGCTGCTATCCCAGTTATTTGACCACATCTTTAACACTCAATCAGTCATAATGGTCGAAGAGCTAACCTTCTACGTTATTGGTATTTCAATGAAATTTCATCTGGATTCTCCCTCGTGATGCTGATTCAGCCTGAGCGTGCTTGACAAACTCGCTAGGCTTGCTTCCCACTCCAACGTCCCTATAGTATCGCCATGACCAGAAGAAGCTCCATATCGAAAACCCGTTTCACAATCAAGATCAATCAAAATTTGCAAGACGGCATTGTGTTGTCTGCAAGAAAATTGCGTCCAACCTCCTGCAGGTGCAAGACGGACCTGTACCCTCGATTTAAATGAGCAAGATTAGCCATACTAAATGAATGAATATACAGGGTGGCGCATCGAAAACGAAACAGACGCATTTACTGGCAGCTCAGTTTTTGGCAAAAAATCACGTTAACACCCCTGGCATAACCATTATTCACCGCCTGGCATCGTCTCGGCATAGATTGTAGAAGTTTCTTGATATAAGATTCATCAATCTGTCTCCACTTTTGCTCTAAAGCGGCAAAAAGTTCATCCTTGTTTGAATAATTTTTATCTCGTATTTGCTTATCTAAGTATTCCCATAGATTTTCAATGGGGTTTATATCGGGAGACTGTGAAGTGCCATTTGAGAACTGGTAATTTTTCATCGAGAAAGAATTTCTTTGCGAGATTTGAAGTGTGCTTCGGGTCATTATCTTGCTGGAAGATTGATCTTAAGGACATATTGTCTTGCGTATAGGGTAACATGACTTGCTTTAGTATGTCTGGGTATACAAACTTATCCATAATTCCATCTATCATGCTATACAGGGTGTCCCAGAAGTCGACGTCAAGCCGAAACCGGGTGATAGGCAAAGTCATGACAGCTATCAGAAAAATATTTAAAAAATTTTATGTATGTGTTTTGAAAATTATAGGTCTTTGAAAAAGATATAGAAATTTCACACCCTACGGCAGTCTGTCAACTCCTGTTACTACAAATATTAACTTTTTTTGGATTTTATTTTTACAATGTAATGATGAATAATACATCTTCAAACTGGTGTATCAACCTTACTGCCAACTTTTCTCGTTCAGGAAAAATTGCCACTTATTTCCCAACCAAGTATTCCAAAGTAAAACTTTGCTCAACTTTAACTGGCTGTACTGGAAAAAAATGTACTACGAGAGTTTGGCAAGTAACCTTAAAAGTTGGCGCATTTAATAAGGATTCCAAAGTGGTATGACACTTAGAAGATTACTCGTTAACTTATGCACAATTTTTATTTGAAAAAAAACTGATGAAAATTTTTCAAAATTTCCTAATTAAACAGCGATTATGAAAACGCACAAGGACCCTTAAGGATAACTGTTTGCACAACAGTGGGCGTCAAAATGCTGCTGATGATGATTTACCTTTACAGCAAATGCTCAAACTGCTTTCCTTCAGCCGCAATACACGCTCGACATCTTCTTAAAAAAGATCGGGTTATTAAACGAGCGAATCCACGGTTATTAACAAAATCAGCTGCTTCCAATAGTCTTTGCCGTAGCTCAGCTACATTATGAATCGGCTTGAAATACACTTTTTCTTTTACAGTTCCTCAGTAAAAAAATCTAAAGGATTCAAATCAGGTGATCGGGCTGGCCACGGTATTGTACCAGACCGCCTTATCCATCTGCCTGGAAAGTTTTGATCGAGATACCCTCTCACTGAGAGTGCATAGTGCGCTGGGCAGCCATCATGCTGAAACCACATGTCCCTGTAAATACTCAGTGGCACATCCACCAATAAATTTTGTACATGATTTTTCAAAAAATCCAAATAAACTTCAGCAGTCAAAGTCTCTGTTAACTCAAACGGACCGATTATTTTACCATTTAAAATTCCTGTCCAATGGTTTATCTTGAAGCGATATTGAGATTTATCTTCTCTCATCAAATGTGGGTTTGCTACGTGCCACTCGTGTAAGTTATGCAGGTTCATGTACCCATCTTTCTTAAATGTGGTCTCATCCGACCATAAAATTTTTTCAAAGAACTGTGGATCTTTCCTGTGTCTTTCTAACATTGTGCGACAAAAAGCAACTCGGGGCTCATAATCCCGGGGCAGGAGAGGTTGAACAAGCTGTATGTGGTCACCAGATTTGGATCCGTTAGATTTGTTTTACTGGGGAAATGTAAAAGAAGAAGTGTATTTCAAGCCGATTCAAAATGTAGCTGAGCTACGGCAAAGACTATTGGAAGCAGCTGAGTTTGTTAATAACCGTGGATTCGCTCGTTTAATAACCCGATCTTTTTTAAGAAGATGTCGAGCGTGTATTGCGGCTGAAGGAAAACAGTTTGAGCATTTGCTGTAAAGGTAAATCATCATCAGCAGCATTTTGATGCCCACTGTTGTGCAAACAGTTATCCTTAAGGGTCCTTGTGCGTTTTCATAATCGCTGTTTAATTAGGAAATTTTGAAAAATTTTCATCAGTTTTTTTTCAAATAAAAATTGTGCATAAGTTAACGAGTAATCTTCTAAGTGTTATACCATTTTGGAATCGTTATTGAATGCGCCAACTTTTAAGGTTACTTGCCAAACCCTCGTAGTACATTTTTTTCCAGTACAGCCAGTTAAAGTTGAGCAAAGTTTTACTTTGGAATACTTGGTTGGGAAATAAGTGGCAATTTTTCCTGAACGAGAAAAGTTGGCAGTAAGGTTGAGACACCAGTTTGAAGATGCATTATTCATCATTACATTGTAAAAATAAAATCCAAAAAAAGTTAATATTTGTAGTAACAGGAGTTGACAGACTGCCGTAGGGTGTGAAATTTCTATATCTTTTTCAAAGACCTACAATTTTCAAAATACATACATAACATTTTTTTAAATATTTTTCTGATAGCTGTTATGGCTTTGCCTATCACCCGGTTTCGGCTTGACGTCGACTTCTGGGACACCCTGTATAAAGGTCCCATCCCAAACCCCGAAAAGCACCCCCAAACCATAACAGACCCGCCTCCATGTTTGACAGTGGGCAAAGTGTACTTGGGGTTCATCTTTGTCCACTAGGACGTCTAACCTAATGAACACCATCTGATCCAAATATACTGAACTTGGATTCATCTCTAAAACATATCCTCTTCCAGTCACAGATGCTCCAATCAAGATGCAACCGTGCAATTGTAATCGGTTCTTACGGTTTTTCCTCGAGATTAGCGGCTTCCTACTCGGGCGACGTGCAAATAACTTCAAATCATGTAATCTTCTACTTATAGTTTTCGTATAAACACTGACAATTCCTTTCCTCTCGATTTCGGCTTTAATTTGTCTTGGGGTTCTAAACGGATCTTTGGACGAAATTACTTTTATTAATCTAACTGATCTAGCATTTAGTTTTCTAGGCCGACCACTTCCAAGATACCTTTTTGTTTATATTTGTCCAATATTGCCCAAACTGCTCTACGCTTCAGCTTCAATTTTTTGCAATGTCGACTTGACGTTGTTCGTCTTTGTATAAGTCAATGATCTTAGTTTTCACATCGAAAGAAATTTCTGGACCACGCGGCATGGTCTTAAAATCACTCAACTTATTCCACAATACTTGATGAACACAAACTAATCCTCTTCTGACACGAAACTGTACTACGTGTTGCAAAGAATTTGTCTACATATTTTTGTCCCTCATAAAAAAGTGCTTATATTCAGACTTGTATTTGTGTTCATTGCAGATAATGTCAAAACAAGGAATTTAGTTTTTCTACTAATAACGCATTTGTTTATGGAGCAATGAAGTATTCTAAAGGTATTTAGGTAAATATTCGTATTTGACTATATACTTTTGTCCATTACTGTACGTTATTGCGTCGAAACGACAAACTACGAGTATTTGCTCGCTCAAAAACTCGCAGCTTGTCTTTGTGTCCAAATGAGCGAAACCACATGTTTCGCTCCAGAACTTAATCTCCTTCACCATATTTTTGAAACAACCCTCGTATATACGCTTATAATTCTTATACTGTTATTTTGTATTACAGCGAAGGAATTTTCTTCCTATACCGCATCTCCTACATCTGGTACTCGGGCTTTGGCTTCCTGATCACGGTGATCCTAGGCCTGATAGGTTCGGTAGCAACAGGTGCAACCAATCCTGGTGACGTCGACGATCGACTACTGTCACCTCCGTTGAGGGATTTTCTCCATTCACTCTCCAATACGACCAAAGAGCACCTCAACATCCCACTCAAAAAAGCCAGCTTCAGAAAGGGGACGATATCAATGATATCGGGCAATAAAGTGAGGGAGGCGTCGGTGAGGGTCGTGGATATTGAAATTGGGCATATCAACGAGCAGATCAAAAGGAAGATACGTAAAATCTCAGCGCCATCGTAATATTCTACGGTCTTGTTCAGCAGTGGAAGTGAGGAATGCGTCTATAACTCTAGGCGCTGAAGAAAGAAACTAAACCCAAACAAATACACGCTTATTGCTCGTGAGTGAGTGTTTAGGCGCAGGAGACATTACAGGACCGCATCAAGATATTATGGGTAGTCATCAAAAATTTCATACAAGATAATTATTATCTTTTACAGTAAATTTCAGTTAGAGATTCACAAATGAGTTAACTACACTTTTTAGTTATTAGTAAGTAAGCTGCGCGCACTCATTCAGAAGAGGAACTTGAATCTTCTGAATCGTTTAAATGAATTATTAGAGGTTCAATTTGGGTATCGATGACATTGTCCAAATCCCACATTTTGACCTCAACCTTCTCCCGAACGTGGCGGATACAGTTTTTCCATTCCTCTGCCGTAACTCTATTGACTGCGATGTGAAAGAGATTTTTAACATCAGAAAATTTATAAGTATTATTATTCGACGCCACGTATTGCTTTATGTTGGCCCAAATCAGCTCAATAGGGTTCAGCTCACAATGGTAGGGTGGCAGTCTCAAGACAGTTTTATTTTGTTTTTGGCCATTTCGTCGATAATTTTAAAATCGTATTTGTATTTATGTCTATTGACTATACTTATCAATTCACCCTTGACCATTGTTTCATCAAAATCGATCTGTTTTGAGGCCAGCCATTGTTGTATGTTTGCTTTTTTAGTTGCCATTGTGGGAATTTTTTCTATTTTTCTAGAATGGTACAGGGCATTATCCAGTACAATAACAGCGTTATTCTCCAGCTTTAGTAACATTTTGGAGAACCAATTTTCAAAGGAATTGCCGTCCATCTCCTCATGATAGCCCCCTGTCTTTTTTGATTCAAAGGCCCACAGTGCTTCGGGAACAATGCCGTCTTCACTACCTACGTGACAAATGATCAGCCGTTTGCCTTTTCCTGGAAATAAATTATTCCTTACACTATGGATTGATTAAATTTGAAGGAATGAGGCAATTGAGTTCATTTAGCTGAATTTAAGAGTCACGGAATGCTGATCAAAAACTGAAAAACGTAGAAAATTGAAGTTTGCAACTTCTCAAAACCCATTCAAAGCAAACTGACTGCACCCAAAAATGATAATAAATTTCAAAATAACGCTTAAAAGAGGGTCGAAGTTTTTTTCCTAATGACTACACTGCGAATGCACCATTTTTGGAGAATATCACACATTATCTGCTATCACAGCATATTATTTGCCCGAATTTATCAAAATTAAATTGCCGGATAGATGAAGGAGCTTACCTGCAGGATTTTTCAATCCAGCCGAAAGACCGTGTAGAAAAGCCTGCCTTGATGATGTTACTGATTTGTCGACCCAAACTTTCGCTTGAGTATGTCCAGCATTCACCCACGTTTCGTCCAAATAGTAAATTTTTCTTTTTTCATCGCGAAACTTCCGAATCTTCCTAAGGTATTCCCTTCTCCACACAACAATTTCTTCTTTCTCTATTAACATACTGTTTCTTCCCCGTTTCAAGCATCGAAAATTAAGTTCCTTCAAAAGTTTTCGGAATGTGGTTCTTTTAAATGATGGAAGATCCTCATCAGCATTAACTAATCTTAATATCTTATCTACTGTAGGTATCTCATTTCGGAAGAAAAAATTATGCACTTTCCTGCTGATGGCAGTTCTGTCAAAGTCATCTACTCCGTCCGTTATCCTTTTTCTTGCAGGATACGGTTTTGGCTCAGAAAGTGAGTGAGTGCTCCTATATTCCTTAATGATCCTATAAACACTGGACCGACATACTCCAGAAATATGTGCTACTTACATATAACTTCGTCCACGACCAAATCGGGTTTTTCTTGAATTTGGTTTTTGTATATATTTAATATTATTTGTTTTTCATTTGCACTTAAATGTAGCTTCTTAGCCCTTTTTTTGGGTGGGGTTGCGCTGATGTCAACCACTTCGTCGGCTGTATCTGTGTCAGACATCGTATCTTAGGCAATATATAAACAAAACGTTCCACTCGCGAAAAACGAGTATACGCTACTGAATGCGTAATGCGTATGCAATGCAATCCTGTGCGTGAATTGACTGTTAGATGCCTGTCGTGTCATCTACAATCACGTTTACAAGTCCAAACCTGTGCAGATTCGTAGAGCGCCGACGACTGCTAGTGACCTTGAATTTGTCTGTAGATCGATGTTACTCCAGTCAATTTAGGTTCAACGTGGATGTTTTCTAAACCAATTTGTTGTTCCTACATCAAAAATATATCGATGATGTTTTGTACTGGGAGCTCATGAAAGATCAAGGTAACTTATTTTAACAGTCATCCTTTTTCTAGTCTCAAGATGACACGAAAAAGGGTCTGTGGATTCACTAGAAATACACTGCCGAGGATGTTTAGACCTAAAGTGACTGGAGTATATCCGTGGATGCTTTCGAGGGATCTGTTCACGTGCTGATCACTGTTTACGTTTAATGTCTTTCTTCAGCGCCCAGAGTTTAGTGCCTTTTCAATCTAAAATCAAATTAATTTGTGTTTAGACGTTAGCAGAGCGTATTACGTGTAGTAGGCATTTGAAGGATTTGAGTCTTACTGATCCAATTTCAGATTTTATGATTATCTTAGAAAATATTTTTCTAGAAATCTAACCTAGATACTAATAAAAATTTATTTTATCAAAAATCTAGTGTTGGTTGGATCTGGAGTCATAATTATTCGGAGATATAAACCTAAAGCATAAAGAACATAACTCTGAACCCAAGGAGAATGGAAATTATGGCCTCCAGGCCAACAGTAATAAGTGGAGAGTGTAACACCTGAATCTTATCAAATCAAGGATAGTGTCAGACAGCATTTAGTACATTATTTTGTATGAACCAATTGAGGGCTAAGTTTTTTCGATGATTTTAGCCCATTGAGCGACATGTCCTTCAAAATGGTCGTCGACGTGGTTTGTATGGTCTCTACGTCGACATACCGCTGTTCTTACCGAACAGAAAATAGGCACACGGTGCCATATCCGGAGAATATAGGGAGCGGTTGATGGTCAAAATGCAATTGTATGCCAAAAAGTCGGACACGGCGAAATACGCAACAGCAAACGCCTCATAACACCACCGGTGGAACGAATTCTTTATGAACAATTCCCTTCTGATCGTAGAAACAAATTGTTTTCATTTTGGACTTTTTAAAAGTTCCTGTACTTTTTCGTCGGTTTCTGGCGTAAGCACAAATTTTGGCTGGCCAACATGTAGCCAAAGCCAAAGATGTGGCTATCCAACGCTAGTCTCCGATAATAGAGGGCGCTACTTGTATCGGATATCTTTCAAAAGTCCTGTTTACCTTGTACTACTAAACGAGTATGAGAAATGTGATTGTTTATATATTGTAAAAAGCAAGGCTTATAAAAACCGAAACGCCAAGCAAGCTGCGGTGGATAAAATCAGAAAGACTCTAGAACCAATTAGCCAATGGATCCTCAACTCGAGGTCCTTCATTCAGCATCTGAAGCATACTCATTCCTCGATCCCTTTTCGACGCCAAATTCTTTTGTGGTTTCGTTTACTTCGTCTTTTCACGAAGTGGGCAGCTACAACGCAGATATACTAAGTGACATATAAATCCGAACACCCAGTTTAAATGGTTTTATTTTAATAAAATTTTGTATAAGTACTTAATGAAGCATAATAAGTAAATGATAAAAATGATTGCACTGCTGTAAAGCCCTTTGACCTTTAATAATGTGTGGATGCACCCTGATGTGCTACGCATTCTCCAACGCGCCTACAGTATATTCAGATAAGAGATAGACCGGGCATAAACAAGACCACGTGATCATCGAACGCTGTAACATTCGGCAGGGACGTATTAAGAGTCACGCAGTACATATTTTAGATAGTAGATGCTGCTTTGCGTAACTTTGTAGTAAATTAGCACAATTCGATGTGTATACGATTGGTGATGGATATAGGATCATGTGAGGGTGGGGTAAGAAATATATATGATGTAAATATACATAAGGGTTTCAAAATTTTCGCTTCGATTTCCAGCTTCGGATGCCGCCTGATGTTTGGTAAAATACAGTCGAATATAATCTCAAAATGGCGTTTAAATTAGCCTAAATTAAAAATAATCGTATATCTCTTAAAATTGCTTTTAGAATATTGATTAGTATATTTTTTGATTTCTAGGTAAATATTAAAATTAAAACGTTCACAACGTAAAAAAATGTGCATGGTTGAACATTGTCAGAAAGTAGATTCTTGAATAGGTTTTGCCAAAATGGGTTCAAAAATGTCAATAATTAATTAAAAAATACAGTAGCTTTATAATTACTTATAACTTACCGAATTTGATGAACGACATCTTTATTGGAAAGATGAGCTTGATGAGCTTTCATCATCGCTACTGCCTAAAGCACCAACGTCAATAATGAATGGCTCGACTTGTTCCTCTAAAATATTGACCAGTTCGCACATTCTCTTTTCAACTTTGTCTTTCACGTGCTTAATACAGTTTTTGCCCTTTTTGCGCTGTTATTAATTCTAGTGCTTCTTTGAAAAGTCCTTTGAGGTCACAAAATTTAAAGTTGTATTGTGCTTAGCTATATAATTTTTAACCTCTGCCCATATGAGCTCAATGGGATTGAGCTCGCAATGGTATGGAGGTAAACGGAGCACAGTTTTATTTTGACTTGCTGCCATTTCGTCAATGGCGTATTTTTGATATTCCGCCTTGTGATCCTTGACAATTCTTAATAATTGTACTTTCAGCATTGCTTCTTCAAAGTTGATATTCTTCGAGCGGAGCCAATTTTGAACATCAACTTTCCTTGAAGCCGTTGTTGGGACCTTCTCCATTATTCGAGAATAATAAGGCGCATTATCCAACACAATTACTGCGTTTTCCTCTAAGTTCGGTAAAATTTTTGAAAACCACTGTTCAAACGATTCGCCATTCATTTCCTCGTGGTAATCTCCAGTTTTCTTAGACTCAAAGCACCACAGACCGTCAACAACAAATCCATCCTCACTGCCAATATGGCAGATAATGAGCCTTTTCCCTTTACCTGGAAATCGAAGTACTAACTGGTGTAGATTTATTTCAATAAGCGAACCTTTTTCAAATGTTAGTCATATTGAAAGAAAGAATATTGAACGTCATATGATTACTCAGCGCTTCACAATTTAATTTAAAGTTATAAACCTTTAAAAAATGAATGATCAGGAACCTGAAATACGCGCAAATATTAATATTAACAAATTATAACTTTATAAAGCTTAAAGTATGAATTAAAATGATTAGAAATATTAGGAACGGCACACAATATAAAACTTAGTAACTTTTTTTAAGTTTATAATATTCGACATATTTTAAGACTATATTAAAAAATAATTGAAATATCGAAAACACATAAAAACATGGCTTAAAAAAGTTCTAACAAATGAAAATGACAATAAAACATCCACGCATTTTATCGAAAGTTATAAAAGTTTTGTTACTTGTAATATGTTTTATCTGCCCCCTGGAATTAATGTTTAGAACCTTGTTCCCAAGGTTTGAAAAACATCCGATTGTTGTCTATTACTCGTATTTACCTGCTGGATTTTTTAATCCGGTGGACAGTCCATCTAGAAAGGCCCTCCTGGATGAAGTTACAGAATCATCAACCCATACTTTACTTGTAGTGTGTCCTGCGTTTACCCACGTTTCATCAAGGTAATAAATCTTCCTGTTTTGATTTCTATATTTCCCAATTTTTGTTAAATAATCCCTCCTCCATAGCACAATTTCTTCTCTAACCAGTAGTAAACTATTACGACCCCGTTTTTTTCATTTGAAATTTAAATGCTTCAGTAACGCATGGAAAGTTGATCGTTTGAAATTTGGCAACGTTGTATCTCCATTTACCTCCTGCAGTACTTTATCTATAGTAGGTATTTCATTCCTAAAGAAGAATTCATGCACTTTCCTCCTAATCGCATGCTTATCAGCTTCATCCACTGATTTAACAATACTTTTGCGATGTTTACTGGTCATTGGCTCAGAAAAGGTGTGATTTTTTTGTATTGTCTTAACACATTAAACACTGATGCGCGACACACCCCAACTTTGTGAGAAACCTTCACAACAATTTCTTTGATGGTTGATGCCTCGTTCTCCTCGCGCTCGATCTTATATATATTCAAAATGACCTCTTTCATTTCTGCACTCAGGTGTCTTTTTTTAGAGCGTTTCCTAGGTGGACTACAGGAGTTTACAACTTCATCGGCAGTATCTGTACTACTGGGCATTTTGCGCAAGCAGTTGATAACAATAACAAGGTATAACAATAACAATGACAAACTCAACAACTTAAGAAGATAACAAACGAAAACGTCCAAAGAAATATCAAATTGCAATGATGCACACGACATACGTAACACGTCTGAACCTGAATGTGACTCTGCCTTGATACGACTGCTCTGCCGCTCGGCATAGGCATTTAATTGCGAATTGACCAATGAGGGCTCCTGTTTTACGTCGAGACGGCGGCGTTAGCGTGAAAATCACCCGAACCTTTTGTTTACATCCGGTCTATCTCATATCTGAATATACTGTAGGCATGCTTCTGATCAGGTGGTCAATGTCCTCCTGAGGTATCTCATTCCAGGCAACCACCAACTCCTCTCGAAGTGCTTCTAGAGTCTGAGGAGGACGTTGCAAATTGAGCAATCTCCTACCCATCATATCCCACACGTGCTCAATTGGGGATAAGTCGGGAGATCTTGGCGGCCATGGTAACAATGTGACATCATTATGTTGAAAGAAGTCTATTGTGACTCTTGCAACATGTGGTCGGGCATTATCTTGTTGGAAAGTTGGATCTGCCAGGGTGTCAAGATAGGGTAAAAGATGGGGTTCTAGAACTTCGTGAATATAACGCTGCGCGTTCATGTTACCTCTGATGAAGATTAAAGGTGACCTGGAACCATAAGCTATAGCACACCAAACCATAACTCCAACAGTGTGATGAACATGTCTTTCAACAAAAAACTGTGGATTCCTCCTTTCACCACGTCGCCTTCTAACCCTGGCACGACCATCGTGCATGCCTAAACAAAATCGAGACTCGTCACTAAAGACAATACTGTTCCATTCCTGATCCCAGAGTGACCGTTGTCTGCACCACTCAAGGCGATTACGTCGGTGTAAGGGTTAGAAGGCGACGTGGTGAAAGGAGGAATCCACAGTTTTTTGTTGAAAGACATGTTCATCACACAGTTGAAGTTATGGTTTGGGGTGCTATAGCTTATGATTATGATTATGATCTCCCGACTTATCCCCAATTGAGCACGTGTGGGATATGATGGGTAGGAGATTGCTCAATTTGCAACGTCCTCCTCAGACTCTAGAAGCACTTCGAGAGGAGTTGGTGGTTGCCTGGAGTGAGATACCACAGGAGGACATTGACCACCTGATCAGAAGCATGCCTAGGCGCGTTGGAGAATGCGTAGCACATCAGGGTGCATCCACACATTTATTAAAGGTCAAAGGGCTTTAAAGCAGTGCAATCATTTTGTAATTTTTATCGTTTACTTATTATGCTTCATTAAGTACTTATACAAAATTTTATTAAAATAAAACCATTTAAACTGGGTGTTCGGATTTATATGTCACTTAGTATAGTTGGTTTGCGAATTATGGGGTTCTACCATTTTCCATTCGTTTAAAGAAGCAAACCACAATGAAACGTGTGGTCAGTATAATTTTGACGTGATAAATCGCAGTTCGAAATTGACAGTTATAGCGTTTTCTACCGACTCGGCATGATTTCGTACGAAATTTATTACAAACATTTCAGTGAAAGACTTTAATCTCTAAACAAATTGGGAATTAAATTCTGTAACGGATTTTCTCACAAAATTTGATACCAAATTTGACTCACAACAGCTTGATTTATTCCATTTCAACCAAGATTTCTTATAACAGACGTTAAAAAATGCAGTCTACATACTTCGTGGGTTGTGAACATAATCGATACTGTTTTTTTTTTTTGATAATCTCAAAAAAAACGCCGCGGAATGTATCGTATACACGTACTAGTATCCTTGTACTTTGAACTTATCTTAATGATTCTCCAGTTTGTACTGGCTGATATCGACAAAGTGTATTTAAGCATTTCATTATTTGTTAACAATTAGGCATAAACTTTTATCACGTATCATATACCGTCATATATCAGAAACCTTGTAAAGAGTACCATATATTTGCATATGTAGCATTGCGAACATTTTTCTCGAAAAAAAACATGGAGATCATCTTGAAGTACAACACT